TCATGGCTGAGTGTTGGATTTTATTGAAGGCTGTGTCTTCTGTGTCAATTGATATGATCACATAATTTTTCATCTTTAGTATGTTGAAGTGGTGGATTCCATTAACTGATTTTCAAATGTTGATCCAATCCTGCATACATGGAATAAATACCACTTGGGTTTAGTGTATAATTCCTTTTATACATTCTTAAATTTGATCTAATAATGTTTTATTGAGAATCTTTGTGTCTATTTTCATAAGAAATACTGGTCTATCAATTTCCTTTCTGGCAATATCTTTATTTAGTTTTGTCATTAGAGCAATAATGCTGGTCCCCTTAAAAGAGAAAGTATTCCTCTGCTTTTATTTTTTGAAGGAGACTGTGAAAAATTGATATGACTTCTTCCTTAAATATTTGGTAGAATTTACCTATAAAACCATTTGGGACTATTGGTTTCTTTTGGGAAGATTATTAATTATTAATTCAATTTATTTATAGATATATGTCTATTCATGTTATGTTATCATTTTTAATGCTTCTAAAACTAAAATATTTTTGATAAAATATAAAAGTATCTTCAGAGATTTTCTCAAAATGAAAATTTATAGATCTAGAAAATGGAGGGAAGCAGGGAATTTTTAATAAACATACTGAAAATGTGAAGTCATTTTTGAAATTTTAATCATATTAATAACAATAAATATCTTCTTTCCATCACTCCAAGGCATCGTATTTTTATTTGTTTTTTTGTATGTGTCCATGTGTCTGTGTGCTCTTACATTTGCTACCCCAGGTAAGAAGTAAAAAAAAAAAAATTCTTTCTGTTTTGACAATTGTATGTCGTATTATGTTTTATTTTAATTTTTGCATACACTCTTTGTGGAAAATATTCATTTAGTCATTTAAGATTATTTTCCTTTTAGTATTTTGAGTTTTTCCATGATCACATCCAATTGATATTTAACATTTATTTGTTTCTTTTTTTTTTTTTCCTTTTTGTCTTTTTTACTGACCGGTAACGGGATCGCAACCC